GAAGGAAGGAAGGAAGGAAGGAAGGAAGGAAGGAAGGAAGGAAGGAAGGAAGGAAGGAAGGAAGGAAGGGAGAAAATCACAAGGTTAGGTCTGAACTTGGAAAAAAGCCATGTATGGCTCTGGTTCTTCCCAATGACAGAGCAATATCATTCTTGTAGTATGGTAAATAGTGTTGCCTGTGTTGTCTCCCATCTAGTTTTAAAATTTCCCAGACCCAGAAAATAAGGAAAAGGAGGTAAATAGGACTCTTTTAATTCAACAGGAATTTTTTCTGGGAAGGGGGCCAAAAAGAAATCAGTGAAAAATGGTACAATTCATGCTATGTTAATGGGGAGGAGGATGAGAAGCTTCTCCTCCCTGTCCCATAATACTGCTTCATTCTTCCCATCTTTCTGAAAGTTTACAAAATAATTGGGTCCTAGATGGGATCCCCTCTAGGCTGGAAAGGATCAGCCTGCTGGAAATTCATATAGTCTACCACTCCCTCCCCAATTTTACAGATGAGGAAACTGAGGCCTAAAGATGGTCAATGACCTGCCCAAGGTTAGTCACCTAGGAAGTAAGCAGTAGAGCCAAGATTTAAGCCGGTTCCTCTGACTCCAAATTCCATGTGCTTTTGTAATGATAAGACCACTAACTAAGCACGGTCAGGGAATTTTCTATCTCCATAGTCATCTAAAATGAGACAGGCTTCGCTTAACTAAAAAACTTTTTATTAACAATGTAAAATGTTAAATATTTTACAATCTGAGCTAATTCCAGCATGCCCTATACGAGTTAACACTATGCTGATGTGCAGACACCATGCTTCAAATTTCAATTAAAATGAAATGTGATAATAATCCGATTTTATATTTGAGGGTAATTGTATAGTTGACTACATCATTTCCTAACTGGATTATGTCATTCTCCAAGAAGTTGAAAAAAGACACCATTGGATCAAAAAGAAATTAGTTACTCTTATGCTCCTGTACATCATAGGAAGATATTATTGTGTATTTACAAATTTTTAATAGCCTCAATATATTTTTAGCATTACAAATTAAGACATTTGTATTTTGAAGCTCTTGGATAAATTTTGACAGAGTGGAAGACTAGACGTGAATGACAGCAGAGAAAGCAACAGGAGAGGAGTAGAAGTTCTCTTAACAATATTACTTCTAGTGATTTAATAACGCTGACCTTGAACACAGTTTTGTAATTTTAAATATATTTCTATGTTTAAAGACTCTTTCATATATGATAAAGTATTAACATGAGACTAGTGCTATAATTATGCTACTGTACATGAAATCATTTGAAATTTATACAATACATAAAAAACTTAGAATGACTTTAAAATCATAATTCTCGCATCTAGCCATTGTGTGGTTTTGAGCAGACATGCACTAGGTCATCTAAAAAATCCTTTTAAAAACATCCTCCATTTTGAATCTGTTCTCTCTCTGGTTCTTGACAATAATTAAAGTGTAAAACTCTTGAAAAGGAAGGGAAGAAAATTAAGAGGGAAGCATAGAAAACATGGTCAATAACCAGTAACTGTGTGGTTTATCCATCTGAAAAGCAAATGACATCTGTTTCTTTGATGTTCTGGCTTTCTTGGGGGAGTTTTAATGGGAATTCTCTAACTTGAGATGAGGCAGCATAGACCAAAGAATCTTCTCTTCCGTCTTCTAACTAGTGGATAAGGAGTCAGGTTCAGGAGGCTGCTGTCATCTGTTATGGGGAAAAATGTATACATGAATGTAATTAGTTTTTTTCCCATTTTATTTTATTTTTAAGTTAATAAGCATTTATTTTTTCTCCTTTCTACATCCCCTGGAAGAGAAAAAAAAAAGAAAAGTGAAATTCTTGTAACAAATATTCCTAGTCAATCAAAAGAAATTCCCACATTTTCCACAGCCAGAAATGTCTTTCATTCTGCACTCTGAGCCCATCACCTCTCTGTCAGGAGGTGGGTTAGCATAGTTAGTCAACAGCCCTTTGGAATTATGGTTGCTCATTGCATTGATCAAAGATCTGAAATCTTTCCAAATTGTTTGTCTTTGCAATATCGTTCTTATCATATACAGTTTCTCTGCAGCTTTCCCTCTGAGATTACCTCTAATTGACCATATAGTTTGTACATATGCATGCTTGCATGTTGTCTCCCTCATTAAAATGTGAGCTCCTCGAGGGAAAGCATTGTTTTTTGCCTTCTTTTACATTGCCAGCACTTAGCACAGTGTCTGACACATGGTAATTTAATAAATGTTTGTTAAATTGACTTGGCCACTTCACTTTGCATCAGTTCATACAACACTTCCTACATTTTTCTGACCCACTCTGCCATTTCTTATGACATAATGGTATTCTATTACAGTTACAAACCACTATTTGTCCCCAACTGATGAATACCCCACTAGTGACCAGTTCCTTGCGGTTTATACACTTAAAGACAAATCAATTGCTTTCCTGTGAAATGGCTCTAAGAAAAACAAAACAAAACACAAGTCTACTATTCTTTGACTACGAAGTTATAGCTTAGAAAGCAACCTTAGAGAAGCTATGCCCTTTGTTAGTAAGCTAATGTTTCAATTCCTTTCTCCTCCTCAGCACCTTGGGGTTCAAGCCAAGCCTAATCTATACACAAGGGTACTCAGTCAATGATGCTCATTGGCTTTATTTACTAGTTGAATTTGAAGATATCACTATCACTACTGCAAGGCTCTGTTATTTTTCACTGGTACAGGATCTTTGATTTTTAGCCGCAGTATGGAGCAGCAGGATAGAACACAAAGCCAGACAGATAAGGAGTTCAAATCTCATACACTTTCTACACCACTCTGGGCAAGTCATTTAAACTTCATAAGATCAGTGATTTAGAGCTGGGAGGGACCTCAGAAATCATATAATCCAATCACCTCATTATACAAATAAGAAATTTCCTCACCATCCCCACCCTTGCCCCATGAGATTAAGTGACTTGCTCAAGTTACATAAGTGGCAGAATGGAGCTTTAAACTCAAGTCCTGAAACTCTAAGTTCGGCACTGTTTCAGTGTCTTCATCTGTAAAATAGAGATTATAAGAGCAGCTGCCTCATATGTGCTCACAAGTGAACAGAACTGAAATTAATGTATATAAAACATTTAGCAAAATCTTAAAGTATTCTATAAGAAAGATAGCATCATTATCCTCGTCATTGTGGTTTGTTCTACCAATGAAGACCAAAATCCCTTTGCACCTTACTAGACATGTCATGAATTACTGTGGCTAGTAAAATCCATCACTTGGTGGCCACTATTATAATGACATGCCTTTTCACACTTAGCTAAGCTGGTCTTTGAATGAAAGGCATACACCGACCAACTTCAGACCTCTGATTGAAAAAGTTTCACCTCTGTAGGATTTGACAGGGCATGCACTCTGCTACCATAGCCCCAGAAAATTCATGCTACAATAATGAGGCATCAAAGGAGGGGTTCAATGGAGCTTATCATCAATGAACAATAGCAAAGAGGAGGAAGAAATCAAGCTACAACTATTCCTCCAACCCAAAGGGTAGAGCAGTCTAGTGACTGCAGTGGTTGGCAGACGAGGTATCACTATGGAACCAAAAGGGGCTCCAAAGCCACAGTGGCCCTCATAGTTCTGGACACTTCCAACTAGTCCCCAAATACAACTATATCCACTGGCCTGGCCTTAGACTTGGGTGCATTTTTCCTCTTTAGAGATGGAACCTCACTAAGTAACTCTTTTTCTTGCCTCCAGACTTTTAAGGGACAATCCCAGTCCAACTTTGCAGAAAGGCCCAGAATATTTAGTTGGACAAAGGAAGGAATTGTATGCTAGAAGGTGCTGACTGCTACTTCAACACTGCTTTGTATTCGTATCCTTAGACTCCAGCACAGTGCCTGGGATGTAGAAGGCACTTAATAAATACTTGTTGATAGACTGATTTTTCATCTTGATGTCTGAATCTGAAGGCTCAAGACCTCACCAAGAAATAAAAATGAGTCTTGACTCTGTCTTGCCCTCTTGATGAAACAGGGCCACTCAAGTATATGCCCCTTTCCTTTCCTTCTCTTCCTCAAGACTTTCTGTCACATGCCATTCCTATTTGTAAATTGTACAACCCAGTGGGGGCAATAGTATATCTGAAAAAAGGACTTGATGCATTCAGATGGAACCAGGAGGGCAGTACAGAATTAGGAAAGACAACAGGAAGTTCAGCTGTGTAGACCAAATTAATCAAACAACTCAGTTGCTCAGGCTCCATAGGTTAAAATCCTTTTTACTTAAAAACCTTATTTCTGGATCCTTCAAAAAAAAAACAACCCTAAAAACAGTGCTACCTCATTCCTCTCAGAGTAAAAACAATCCACTGTTGTTAACATATTGGAAGCTAGAAATAGTACGTCTTTTATACTTAAACTCCCAACTAGTTAAGATACATAAAACAATGTAACATATTGTAATGAGATAGTTCAGAAATGACTCATGTCACAATTAAAAACTGGGAGAAAAAAATAATTTAGCCTCATCATAATCATGAATATTATACCTTTCATCACCAACTTACTATATATATATATATATATATGCATATATATGCATATGTATCCCACTTAAAAGCATATTTAACATATTTGACATATTGGAGTTACCTCAGAAACTGCAATTTTTGCAATAACTTTTTGCAATAACTCTTTGAATCCTGGATGGATTTTTGGCAATCCCAATCTAGCAAGTAATTTAAGATTCTCTGGCTTATGTTCATCAAATCTATAATAATCTTTTTATGAGGAACAAAGATCTTAGCATTTTCAGTAGCAGATGTTCTTTATTAAAAATCTATAAAATATTTTCTACACTTTAAAGGAGTTCAGAAAACTATTTTGCATGACCTCCACATACCTCCATATTTGACAAAATGTGGGACAAATACATGGCTTTGTTGTTTACATATAAACAAAGGAAATTCACATATATGTCTCTTATGTGACATGAAATACTTCAGGGGATTTAAGATTTCGTGCATGTTATGTAAGCAATGTGCAGTTCACCACCCATTTGTTTGTGATTTTCCTTTATGTCCTCCCAAAAATTGGCCACAAGGGGTCCGTCCACTGTGCTAAGGGCTTTCCTTATGTCCTTCTGACATCTCAAGGATACTATTTTCTGTAACTGTGCTAAATCTCAAAGTGGAAGGCAGAAAGGGGGAAAGAATGAGTAGTATATCTAAGGGACAAAGGAAGAAAGAATGTATATATGATCTCATTCTTATGTTTTTGTACGTGGGCAGGCATGGATGAGTTGCAATTTCTATCAGTGAAGGAAATATTTACACCGAGTTCACAGATCCACCAAGAGCTATAGCACCATAAACAATCATGGTTTGTTTTTAGGTGTAAGATATTTTTCCTTTAAGTACTGCTCTTTTCATAATGCCACCACACACACACACACACACACACACACACACAGAATGAGAGGCTGCCATGATGTATGGCTCACTTCTCCCCCTTGTTCAGTCCTCTCTAAGTATCCAGCATTTGCTTACTCACAAATGAATGGGAAGTCATGAGAGAGATGAAATCTTGGTTGCTCAGGCTCTCAACAGAGACCATGCTCTCAGTTAAGAAGGACTCATGGTTTGGGAGACCTTCGCCCCACACTCATGACAACTCCCTTCCTCAGACCCCATGCTCTTATGATCAGCCCCTATGGCTGAAGTGACACAAAAAAAACCACAACGCCTTTGCCAGGAATTCTGAGCAGCTTCTACACAGTGGGAAGCTCAGCACTTGAATCTGATGCTGAAATTCACAAAGCGGCGACTTACAGAAAATGCTGTTTGAAATAAATGAGATGAATTGAAACCAAAGGAAAGCTCCACATGGGCTGAAATCTTCTCTCTGAACAGGCTACGAGTGAGAAACAACGTGGGCAAGGTGGCAAAATCTCTGGGTTAATCCTCTAGGACAGGTTGGGCACCTGGTGACTAACGAGGCTATTTCAATCCATGTAGTGGGGCTCATTTAGACAAAATAAACTAATGAGACCCATACCAGCTGTGCGACAGCAGCAAGCTCTCAGGATTGTCATCTCTAAAGCGAGACTGATGATGTAGATCTCATCCACCTTCTCATGGTTGTTGCAGGGAACAAAGATACTGATATTTTCTGTAGTACTCTGTGCAAATGTTTAGGCCCTGTATCAAAGTCAGCTACTGCGAGGGAAAAGCCAAAATTCTGGTTTGAGTCCCAATGCTATCTCTGTCACTTATTAGCTGTATGACCATGGGCAAGTTACCTCATGTCTCTGAGCCTCAGTTTCCTATTATTGTAAAATAGGAACAATCCTATTTGCACTACCTGCCTCAAGGAGTTGTTGTAAAGTACCTCATAAATATAAGATTATTATTGCAGCCGATAGATTGCTAGCTTCAGAGCTGAGTTGAGCTCTCATGTTCTCTTCACCCCATCGTCCAAAGCCAATTTCTGCTGGTGTGCCCTCCCCACCCTGAATCCTGAGCCCATGTTATGAGGCTGCTAGGCCTCCCTCCTCCACATCCTTCTCCCTTTCAAAGTGAAGTCACTTGACCAAGGTCAAACAAGGGGCAGGATTTCAACTCAAATCCCCTGGTTCCACAGCCAGTGCTCTTTCTACTGTACCCGCTGTCGCCTCATTGGATGTTACTTCTGATTCTCAGCTCCCATATACATGAGAATA